CCTTACTCCAACATTTAAATTTTTTTATTTTTTGTTTATTAAAACACATTCCTAATGGTTTTTAAGAGCAGATTGTCACAGAAAATGATCATCACTTTAACTAGTACATTGTTTTGATCCTAAATGGTTCCTAAAAAGGAACTAGTTCTTTGGAACTATAACTAACTTTGCGATCAGGTTGGTAAGATCAATCTTGATATGAATCAGATTAAGTGTTTAGAAATAGGTTCGATGTTCAACATCACAAATAAAATAAAAGTAAAATATGGTAAATGATAGGAAACTAAATTTGAAGGCATTGGTTTATATAATTATTCTTATTCACGAAAATAACGAAGTGGCAGTCATCTAAAAATAAGGAGACACAGCTACTACAGACAATAATTATAAAAAATTAATCCAAGCACAGCATATGTATATACGTATTTACCTAAAACAAGCTGAAGCTGAGAGCCAACGATCAAGCATAGCATACCGAACCGATCAAAGAAATACTTAGAGATGCAGTTTGCACAAATGACGATATCAAATATCAGAACAGCAGTGACGTTAATAGTTCCCCGGAACTAGTTCCATTTAATTTTCCTAACTACCCACTGCTAAGCTATACCTTTGGTAAAGAAAAAATTCTGAAGAATATCAACAAATTACTCTGACAAACTTAAAAAATCACCTGTGTAAACTAATGTAAAGTGTATAAAAGAATATTACGTCAGATGTCACCTGTTTAAAAAATACCTAATTCACAATTAAAACTTTAAAGATATAGTTCAATTTACTTTTGTCCAACCCTTTATTATAAAATAAGATAGATCATAAAAGTATTCAGTACAATGCAATGTTGCATTGGAATATTAACTGAAATTAATAAAAATGTGGATCTAGTCAAGTGGATTTTACTAGTCACTATTTGATAAATTATTAACTGTATAGTATGCACAATCTTAATGTTCATTTAAATCCACTCATATTCAGCAGGATTCTAGACTGATCAAAATAAGAGCTATGTAATTACTTATTTTATTTATTAATTTAATTCAGTTGAAAGTAATTGTGATCTATAATTTCTATATGGGTAAAATTAAAATATTTATTAGCACTTAAAAGCCCAAGCTAGTATATTTACCCACTTACCCTTTAACCCATCAATACCTAGAAGTATTTAATTATTACTAAGCATCAAATGCCCTTCCCTTACTTAAAAAGCAATAATAAATTAATTCTTATCAAATATAGCCTCCATATTTCTATCTGTAGAAAACCATTTTAGCAGTCCACATTGTGGAAAGTTCCTTTTAAAGGGCTAATGGTCAATTGCTTATAAAGGATAATTATAGCAAATGGGGGCCATTGAATTCAATTTAAAACAGAAATACTGCTGGTATAGTAACTTCTCATTTTTTCTTGTTCCCATTCTTTTATCCGATGTATAAAAATTTGACATAACTGAGGCCCAAACCATAAAAGCTAGGTAGAACCAAATATCTTTATATTTCCCAATTTTACATGGAATTGGATGATAGCAATGTTTTTAATAAAGTATCATGTAGTGACGGCTGCCAGTACTGTTCCTATACTAGTAGTTGACATGTACTATACTTAGTTTAGAAAGTTACGACATAATGAGTCATATAAAAAATTTCCTAGTTTTTCTATCTTACATTTATAATTTTAATAAAATCTTGAGCTGCCTAATTAGTCTAAACCAAGGTCATTAATCTAAACACACACACACACAAGATCTTACATTTGAACTTTACTATTAACTAGCAACTTTGCACAATGTGAACTATGACTGACCTGACAAGACGATGTATGGTGGACGCCTACGCAGAAATGCACGGCACCTTAAGAAGAAGAAGAACTATGACTTATTAGTAACTTATTTATTATCAATTTTTCACAAAGACTAGATATTTTATTATTGGTAATAATAAAATACCTAAAATGAGTAATTTGCTAAAGTGTAATCTTTGTATAAATTTAAAAAAGATAATATTTCAATGTGGTTATGACCACATTAAAATGTATACTAGTTTTAAAATTATAAAGATCTATGATAAAGCCAAAAGATCTGTTATTTGATCAAAGTCCATCTGATGTCTTTTTCCTAGAAGTTATGTATTAGGTATATACTGTTCATACTGTAGTCCATTAGCTTCCTATACATCTTCCATTATTCTTGATACCCATTCTACATTTCTGATACTTTGTACCAGCTTACACAAGTCTAGTGGATGGGTACTGTATGTTTTTGGAGTCAGTTGGTAGACCAAAAAGTGTGTGTCACTTGTAATATAGTGCCTTGCAGTAGTGTGAAATATAGTTGAAGGCTTCAGGTTATAGCCATAGTCTCTGTAGTTTTAGTATCCATGAAACATTGTGTACAGGTATCTTCATATCTTCTTACTGGGACATGCTGGATGAGAAAACCAGTAAAGATTGAGCTGATTCCAGTCTGCTTATGAATTTGTCAGTATCATTAGCATTTATCCCTCTAATATACATCATGTTATTCATCAGATCTTAATATATTTTGTAAAAAATTCCAATTTGTAAATTCAGTTACATGTAAACATTTTTTTTTGAATTTTTATATACAAATCCTTATAGTCTGTAAGATATTTGCAACCAGTATTGTATAAAAATACATTAATTTTCAGAAATATAGACAGTTGTTTTGAATTTCTTTTTTCTCATGTTTAGTTTATAGACATTATCAAGGGCAAAGATTCAACATTTATAACAATATACTTTCAGATATCAACTTGCTGACTAGTGTCTATCATATAGATGTCTAATGACCATTGAATGGATGAGTTTATGATGATAAACATAATTCAAAAATTGTATAAATAAAACTAAAATTATCTAATTGATTTAAATTAAACTTTTCTAGATGTTAAAGTTTTATATAATTTTCTGAAATCAAACCCACTGAATTATCTACAACTAGTCAATCATTAGTCTAACAAAATGTAAAGATAAGTGAAATAAAATGAAGTATTTTCTGCCAGTTAATTTATTCAACCTCAAAAAACTAATTCAATTACTGAATGGCACATTACTATTTAATCACAACCAATAAACATTTGGGACTAAATCGGATAACAACTTTGAAGAGTATTATCATTTTAAGGGACTTCCTTTCCTACTGTCTATGTAGTTCAATGTTTTCTTACTAATATGGTCATCTGTACACAAACAATAAGAATCTTTAAAGAATAAAAAAAGAAATTTATAGAGAAAGTTGGACAGAAATTCTTGAGGGTGCTAGGACCCAAGCAGGGTTGTAAGGCCACAATTATAATGATCCTTTATTTCATGGAAAATGGAACAAAGAACATTGCTCATTTGTTTTTCTATTTAACTATATTATACAACACTTTCTATTTAAAACATTTTGTGTGTGTGTGTTTGAGGATTATTGGCTTCAGAGTCAATGTCCATTTGCCATCTTACCTTTATAGGATTATTTTGTATCTTTTTAGTGGAAGCTCTAAAAGAGTGCTCCTTGCTTTAGTTCAGGTCATCATAATTCGACTCTTTTACAAATATATATAATTAGTGGTTTTTTGGTTATTTTTATTATAGGTTCATCATATTTTGAACTGTTTTCTTTTCTAATGTTGTTTTATATATTTTTTCTAGATATAAAATTCTAAAAATTTCTAATTTCTAAAAATCAAACATTTTCTACATTATTTTATCAAACTTTCAAATAAGTGTTTGTTTTGATTTAAATTATACTAAAGAACTACACTATGACTACTATGGATTTAGCAATAACTTAGTAATGAGTATCTTTAAGAGTGTGAAATGTGAGTGTGTTTAAGTGAACATTTATTTTTTTAATGTGCTTAGTCTGACTTAAGTCAGTCTTAAATAAATAAATCTCCATAGAATTTCTTCCAAATTTAAAAAAATCTTGCACTACATTCACACAACCAGAAATGTATCCAATATTACTATTAATAAAAGAAATATTAAACATATTAATGACAAAATTTATTTGAAAGTATATTAAAGATTTACTTGGTCACTTTAATACATACAGTTAACTTCAGGATATCATCAGGACTGATCTATGTGTGTTTTAAATAACATTCTGTTCACAACATTTATTATTTCTTTAAGTGTTCATTCATTTAACTCAAAAATGTAAAAAAGGATACACTTAGTTCTAATATCCAATGTTCTTTGCAAAAAGTCAATAGTCAAGATTCATATTATGGTGTAACAGACCCTGTTTATACTTTAAAAGGAGAAGTCAAACTGAAACTTTAAGATCTATTATGTCTACAGTTTCTTATTTTCTAAATGATAGGAGCATCTCACTTGCTCCTATTTCTCTCAGGAAGTAAGTATATATAGAGGCTTCATATACAATAATTTAGTACTCAATATATGTGAAACCAAACATAAACACATATTGTGTCTATATTCATTGAAAACCTAAGTAATTCTGCATAAATTTAACTAGTTGTTTTTATATTTAATTTAAGAACCTGATTTGTTGTAAACAAGAAAAAGTTTACAACTCATAAATGGGTCCTTAAAAATTAAAAAGATCCAAATTTAATTAGTTATTGGATGTGGTAACCCATGTCATATATTAATAAGGTTTATAAGCAAACTGGATATATTTAATTAAATTATTTGATGTAACATATTATTCATGAAGACAAGAATTTATCCATAAATTAAAATGCACTCTAGTTAAAAAACACTTCACCAAATTGATATAAGCACCAAAAGCTTTTATTTGTTTAAATGGGTAGTTAACAACTTTTAATAGACCAAGACACTTTAATAAGATTATGTTAATACAATCAACTGTACTGATTGAATATAAATCACTAAATAGGTTTTAACACTTCAGTTGATTTTAAAGCAAATACACTTCAGTGTCAAAGGTCTGGATTTGTGAAGTTTTGTAAGTACCGTTAACGAGAGCACTCACTGCACAAATTTAAAGAGTGAATCGTTAGTGTACTAACCACATAGTCTTGTGTCTCCTGTTCTTTAGCAGCCAGCCTACGAACCAAAGTCTTCTCCCTCTGCTGAGATTCAAAGAGCTGCCCTTTGATCCTCTCGTTGACTAGTCGAAGATCAGCCAGGTCCCCTGCAATGAGCACACGTTATACGTTAACTACCGCCTCACTAACACATTTGCTTTGGTACACCTCACTTCACTGCACCATGAAGATACAGCCCGATAATAACTATTACACTTTAACGAATAATAACTGAAGATAAGTACCTTCTTGTTGATTTGCCTTCCTTTCTAGAAGATTAATGTAGGAGTCTTGTTGCCGCCAGCAATTCTGCCATTCTTGAATACTGTAACAACTCACCTCCGGCTCTGTTATTACTACTCTACTTGGGGGTTTATCCCTTTCTGCGGGACTTAATGTCTGTGGGACGTCTCCTGATTCGGACATCCTAAAATCCACCACCATTAGAAAAGGTTAAAAATATAAATAAAATTGGGTCCATTTATATACAGTCGGCCATGTTAAAATGCAAACATACAGGTATTTGTCCTGTGTTTAAAAATTACTTACATGTCAGGTTTGCTGAGAATTAACATTAAAATACAACCTAAACGAAATGATCATAAAAACGTTCGAATTTGTAACTTGAAATGAGAAAAAAACATCATTAAACTAAAAAAATATCCGTAAAAATTCAACACTACACTTCATGAAAACTTGACACACTGTTGACTTATGACATATGACATTTTTAGTAAAATGACACATACTCATTGGTGGTTGTCTTTTAGGCATTTTTTCTTATAACATTTCTTTTAAACTATTAGGAATGATGCCTTTTTATTAACAGATTCCAATGCCGTTTTCATTTTGATTTTTGATCACAAATATGATCCATCATGGGATGCATAAACCTGATAAACCTAGAAAAGTTACATTATTTTTTTATTCATTATCCTTTACGCAAATATTATTGCGTTTGCCATATATTACTTAATTACGATATAGTTTTTCTAAATGAAAAGAAAACACAAATTCAAAAACCTAAATATAATTGTCCATTACCTTATATAATAAAATAACATTAATATAACAATATATGGTTATATTTTATTTCATTCGTATAATTACCCCTAGAATTACCTTTTTAGAGTTTTGAAATATTCATTATAATTTAATGGAAATCAAAATTTTTGATGATTAAATATATATAAAATTAAACAGAAAACAAATGTTTATAAAATTATTTTAACAATAATTATTCAAGGTTTATTGGAGTCTTTTATGTAGTTCAAGTTCAAATCAGATATTGATGACATACATCCAGCATACATCATACATCTGCAAATTGCAATTTAAAGAACTGTCATTTTATTGGTGGATGGGGCTATGCATTTTTAGTTGTATGAAATGAGTTTATATTTTGATTTTTTGAATCTAGTCTAGCAGGTGGCAAGTGATTTATGATTTTGAAATATTTTGAACGGTAGCCGAAATGAAGCAAACAATAAAAATATCCCAAACTATTATAGATGTAAGACCTACCTTAAATTTCAATAACTCTGTTTATTTTATAATTTCATTTTAGAGACTAGGACACAGCCTTAACAGCTGTGATGGTAATTTGTATGGAATTTCCCATAAAAATGAACTATTTATCCTGGTTTTACAGGCAGATTCAGAAAACAAAATTGATTTCGTTAATTTCCTTCCTACCGGAATTGAATTATGCGGCCGTTTTCAAGTTACAGCCGAAAGTACTGACTTAAATATACAACTTCCAACTAAATCAATATTACTTACAAGTAGTATTGGCAAAGAAAATAACGTTAATATTTACCAAGAACAGAATGGAAAACTCAATAAATCTGAATATCACATTATCACTGAACAAGAGATTAATAGCACATTTTTATTTATCAGACTAAAAGGTATGTTATAATTATTTTATAAAGGTATATTTGACTAGTCATATCTAATTTCAAGATACATCAAAAAAATTACTACATAATGGATATTATTATCAAGTATTATCTACTTGGTAAGTGCAATGTCCTCCCAACTTTATGATGAAAACATTTGAAACATTATTCTGTGTATATACATCTACCAATTTTTAAATCCAGTTGATGGGTGTTATCCTGATTCACTGGTCATTGGTGGTATAGGATCTCTTCCACAATTTATTAATTTTCCAGATGTGCATATGACATTTTTGTGCTATCATAATAATATATATGCTAATATCATATAAATATTATATTTTATTTCTTTACTGATCTTAGCAGTAGTGTTTTTTTGAAACTTGCTTATTAGTAGGTACCTCATGCTGGGACATCTAGTTCTATATTACATCCCCCTGTTATCTGTCATCAATGTGGGCAAAACCTCATCACTTGCCAGTAAAACATAATTTCAAAATATATGTTTAAAAATACAATTATTCAGTTATTTGTAAATTTGTTTCCCTTAATTATGTTATGAAACCAATACATTGCTATCACCTCTTTACAACAGCCTATAATATATTATATGATTACATCAATTATAAAAACTCTTTTAATAATTTTTTAGGCGAAGTTGTCCTTAAATCTGAATTTACCATTCAAGCATTGAAGGATGCCTTCCAAGTAATTCAGAAATCACTACCATCTGATAGTGTTTTTGGTCTTTTAAAAAGCAATTTATTTCTCCAAGAACATGACACAATAAATGCTGAGTTTAATAGTACTATTAATGAATTTTATGAGGATTTAAATACTGCAAATGATGAAGGCAATAGAAAAAAGAATAAAGTTGTTAATATAAAGCCAAGAGTTTTAGACTTTAACTTTCTTCAACAATTAACAAGGGATAAATCAGTTGATAGTATAAAAGAACATGCTCCAATTGGAATTCTTAACAAAAGTAAGATTTATTTATAAATAATTTTAGAATGTTTTATAATTTACTGTTTACTTACCTCTTAAATTGCCAATTACCAATGCTTGGTGGATACAAATATAATATATACTATACATGTGTTAGTAGTGTATGTGATCTAAAGGATGTTTAGTAAGTATTTTTAAAAATAATTTGTAATGATTCTCAACCCAGGATTACACATCCACTAGGACCTAATTGATTTAAAACCATTCAAATTCAGAAACCTTCAGCTAGTACTACTAAACAACTTATAAGGCCAAAACTACAATGGTGCTGAAGTCTGGAGAATAGACTGGACCAATAGAGCCAATTCCAGATGGCACATACCTATTTAATCCCCCTAACCATCCAGCTATCTTCCACCTATCAAGGAAAAAGGAAAACATGCACAGCATATATTCGACCTGTCAAGGAAAATGGAAAACATGCACAGCATTAAACAGAATACATAAAGGCCATAGGCATTGTAGATCCTCCCTGTTTAGATGGAACATGAGACCCAACTCTAGCTGCGACTGTGGAGCCCAAGAACAAACTATCCACCACATTGTCAAGGAGTGTCCACTTAGGGCTTTCAATAGTACTGATGATCATCTTTTGAAGGCAATCCTACTGCTGAAAAGTGGCTGCACAATTTGAATATGGAACTAATACTACAGTCTTATTAAAGAATATAACTTCTAGTGTCTAGTTTTTAATAAAAAAATATATATTTTTCCATAACAGAAATTTTGACAACAATTTAACCTCCAAATTACTGTCACATTATTGCAGGACAGACCCTAAAAGTGCTGGTTTAACACAGTCTGCCGCCCGGTGCTGATACGGATTCCGCGCCCAGGCTCAAAAATATTTCTTAACTTTATTTCAATTCAACAAAACATATTTTGAATACAAGTTTATTAAAATAAGGAAAACAGTTACAATTTTTTTGGTTTCAAATTTAAATGAATACTAACAAAATACAAGAAAAAAATTAAGGGTGAACTTCAAAAAATAAAGTAAAAATGTACCTAATAACATTCAAACAGGTAACATGACCTAGGTAATCAAATATCTTTACCACAGAATACTAATTAGTGTTCTGTGCCTTTACTATTGAAATGACTGATATCATTTATTCAGAAGTTTAAATTTTCTTGGGAGATTTAATTTCTTAAGTAGGTCTTTATCCTTTTTAGTGTCGAAAAAGACTGTTCGCTATTTGCATTTGTGACCATTATGGAGAAAAAAATATGCAAGCAAATATTAACGTTTGAAAACAAAAATATTGATCTATTTTCGTATAAAACCTGTACCAATTCTAAAAGAGTGTCTATTTTTAATTGGGGAAGAGACGTTAACAAATGCATTAACTGAACACATTCTTGGGAAAATACTCTTCTAAATCCTACTTGTATTTTTGTTGTTATTCGGTTGCCTAAATGCCCTTGAACAAGTTTTATAACTATCAGATCAGCAAATAATCTCCGACTTAAGATTGTCTATTATATATGTGTGTTCGCATTTTTTCTTTTTGGCTTAAACTTGCTTAAACTGTTTCCTCAAGTTCTTGTGAGCTATGCCCAGTGTTTTTTATAAAGTCCCACGTATCTTTCCATGGGATTCCCTTTATTGTTACAATATCTTAAAATTACTGTAAGTTGGTCATGGTTTGTTATGATAGGTGTTGAATCTACACTTATAGAATAGTATTTATTTGCCTTAATTTGCCTAACAATTTGATCAATGCCTCGATTGGACAAAATATTCAGTCATTCGTTACAAGTTTTTTTTTTTTGATAGATATGACGTTTTGCCCTTACCTAAATGTGCTCGTTTATTAATATCATCTTTTAAAAATGGATCATATTCTGACAATAGTTCCAGTAAACCTAAGTAGTTTCCATTCAGTTTTTCGCCAATTCTTTCATGTGTTTCACATGCTAAATGCCAATTCCCTGGTAGCCAGAAACTTTATTACACTTATGATTCTTTTTATTAGTTTAACCTAATTACTTTAACAATATTCTTTCACAGTGCTAATTTCCTTTTCAAGTCATCATTTCAGTAATCAACTCTTCCTTGCTTTAATAAGCCAGTCATATAAATTTTCAGATGATCTATATGATAGTTGGGATCTTTCAAGTTCATCAAATGTTTCCTTACTTATATTCCATAATAAAAATCTTGTTTAAAATTGGTTCTTTTTTTTCAAATAAGACACAATAAAGACAAAATGTATTGCCAGTGCTCTTAGAGTAAATTGCCCAATCGCGGCGAACCATTTTTCCATTTACAAGTTTTTTTATATAATATTTTCTTACTGGCATACCTGTTTTATTCGTCCATAACTGTCCAAAAGTCAGTATCTGTAAGATTCTGTTCAACCCATTTTTCTAGAATCGTTTCTGGCAATTTTGCCAAAGTGTTTGATCTTTAAAATTAAGTAAATCCTGTTTTGGATCTGAAAAGAAATAAAAATTATTTGTCATTGGCCTGTTTTGCTTACCATTTGTAAAGGCACCGTTATCTTTTTGCATTTTAGCTTCTTCTTCTTCAGTGCCTTATCCTGTCCGGATGTTGGCGATCATGGTTTTGTTGACTGCTCTCCGAAACAGCTCCGCGGATGTCATCCCAAACCATTGGTGAAGGTTTTTCAACCAGGAGATACGACGGCGTCCCGGCCCTCTTTTGCCAAATACTCCAGCTCCAAGGTACTCAAGCTTACGTGGTTTCACTGAAATAAGCACTTCGTTTTCTTTTGTCATGCGCTGTAGGACCTCAACGTTGGTGAAATGGTCCACATACGATATTTTTAGTATCCTGTAGATGCACATCTCGAAGGCTTCAATCCACTTTTCTGTGGCTTGCGTCGGTGTCCAGGCTTCAACTCCATATAGTAACACAGGAAGAATGTAGCACCTCACTATCCGCATCTTGGTTCCATAGCCCCGTTACAAAAAATTTAAATATGCCTTACCCGAGTTACTGGTGGTCGCTTCTTCATCTTCTAATACTTTTGAAATAGTTATACTAAGTGCTCTGGCACTGATTCTGAAGTCTCCAAAATAGGTTCATGTGGTCGAATATAAATATATTTATCCATAGTAGCACTATAATTACGACTAGTTTGAAAAATATTTGTGAGTCGTCTTCTTGATCTCCATTCGTTGTAAAAAATGCAAAACTTTTCAGTATTTTATTAATACATAAAACGAATTTCCATCAAATAACTGTCGATTTCCACCAAATAAAAATCTAACTCAGGATATATTTCATTCTATAATAGCAATTAAAGATTTTGATATATGTTTTAAATAAACTGTTTTAAAATTTTTTAGATCCATTGACGATTATTGATACATTGTTACCACTAGATTGTATATCTATGGTTCATGAACAAACTAAGATAAGTAAACTCTATGAAATTTTACTAAAAAGTACTACAAATAGATTAAGTTTATTTGAAGAGAAAATTCTTCAATTCGTAAAAAGTAACAGCAACTTTTTGAGATTTCAACCATACCATTATTATCCTGAGGAATGCAAACATTTTTTGACATTACTATATGCCAAAAGTCAGACAGATAAAGATACTGGTAAGTGATTATCAACTAGGTTATAATGTAACCCAACAAAGTACATAATTATTCTGTAGTGTAGTGTTGAAAGTTAATTTACTCTTTTCATTGGGAATTAAGTACAAGTTAAGTTTAAAATATATTTATTTTGATGTTTCGATTTCCACAAGAGATTACCACATGAAATAGCAACATAACAATATTGAAAGGTCATTTTATATATTTGGTTTTTATTTTAGAATCGGAACGCCAACTAATACACAAACAATTGCTCTTGGATTCGTATACCCCTAGATTTAGAAGAGCAAATCAGTATTCATTTGACAAGAAATTGAATGGTCCATTGCTTAACCCGCATGAAGGAATTAAAAACACTGATAATGGTTCGTACCTTTTAATGTCTTACCACTTAGTACAACGTTAGTTATATTAGTGATTTTTAAATTAATCTTCTTACCCAATATTTTACTCCAAGATTTTGTACTATATATTTTTACGCTGTAACTATATCAATAGTTAATCTCTGACATTGTCGAAGGCGTTTTGGTAATCGATAAAGCAAATAAAATGATCTTTGCTTTGGTCTTGAGTGTCTCCTGTTTTTTCTTCACATTTGTTATAAATTCGCTTATGAAATCGTAGGCTTCCACGGCCAGAGTCACAATTATAGTTTATTCGTCTTCCGGGTTTGGACCGTGTCATTTGTGAGTAACCCAAAAGTGGGTTCATCTCGATGTTTCGCTACAATTGTATGTAGCTTCTTCAGGAGAACAAAGAAAAAGAAATCAAAAGACAGGAAGATGGGTAGTTAGCAACGGTAAATCAGTTACTCAACGCAACCAGAGGCGAATACTAACTACCAAGATGGGCATTTGGTCACAGTAACTCAACTACTTAACGCAGCCAGAGGTGAAAACCAAATGCCAGGGCAGGGATTCACGTCCAACAGCTCAGAACACTAACGCGTCGAGAGGCGGGGAGTGAATCCGACGATTACTCCGCTACCACTCTATTTATAGTCGCGGTGACCTGTCGTGTCGGGACGTATCGGCACACTCCGTGGCGCGAACGTCATGAAGCGCGCGCTGGCCAATCATGTGGCTGCATCATGGTAGCGGGACCGGACGGCTAGGGATCTAGACCGGATTCCAGATGGGAGACAAGTAGTATCTTTCCTCTCGATTGATATTATGTGGATTTTTTCGGATCTCTAGAGATTCGCGGATTTTCCTGGAATAAAAGAAGGGGCTTTTAGAAATAATATGGGTTTTTTTCGAACAACTTACTTAGGGATACATCCTGTTATAATACAATTTCTCGAAACCCCACTCCTAGAGTCGAACGCGAAATTTCCCATGCCATCAAACAATCCGATCTTTCCGATGATGTTAAGAAGTCCATAGTTCCGAAAAACTCCATCTGCCCCAGAATTTACGGTCTTCCCAAAATCCATAAAGACAACGTACCTCTTCGTCCCATTGTGACTACGATTAACTCTCCTACCTACAAACTCGCAAAGTACTTGTCGAATCAGTTTAAGACCTATACTGGTCGTACCTCTTCTTATGTCCGAAATTCCACACATTTCATCACCTTAATCTCCTCCCTCACGGTCGATCCCCAAGACATTCTCGTCAGTTTCGATGTATCATCCCTATTTACCAATATCCCCATACATGACTCTCTAGTTGTTCTACGAGATCACTTGACCAATGATAACAAGTCTTTGGTTTTGGCAGATCTTGCGGAAAAATGCCTCCTTTCAACATATTTTTCTTTTAGAGGCAATTTCTACAAACAAATATCTGGAACACCAATGGGTTCTCCCCTTTTCCCTGTCATTGCTGACATTTTCATGGAAGCCTTTGAGTCTTTAGCCCTAGAATCTTACCCCTTAAAACCAAAAGTCTGGTTCCGCTACGTTGATGATACATTTATCATCTAGCCCCATGGTCAACATACCCTTTCTCCCTTCCTAGATCATCTTAACTCACAACATCCGAGTATAAAATTCACAATGGAAGTAGAAAATAATCGGTCCCTTCCCTTTCTCGATGTGTTAGTCACCTCCAAGCCCAATGGCCGATTGGGTCACTCTGTTTATAGAAAAAAGACTCACACGAATCGTTACCTACATGCTTCATCACACCACCATCCTGCCCAAAAGAATTCTGTGATCAACTCTCTCATCCATCGGGCCATTTCGATTTCTGAACCTGACAACCTTAGAGAAGAACTTGGCCATCTGCAAAAACCCTTGTCGCCAACGGTTACTCCATCTTCGGGTAATACTCCTGTGGCTTTTCTTCCGTATATTCGAAATGTCACTGATAGGATTGGCAAAATTCTTCGCAAAGAAGGTATCAGGACTACTTTTCGACCACCCAAGAAAATCTCACAATATCTACCCTCTCCTAAGGACCCATTACCGCCCCAATCTTCCTGTGGTGTCTATTCTATTCCTTGTTCATGTGGACATGTGTATATTGGCGAAACTGGTCGTTCCGTCAAAACTCGGATTCAAGAGCATCAAAGATACATTCGATCAGGTCTTTTCTCCCATTCTGCAGTTGCAGAACACTGCCAAGAAACCGGTCATTCCATATTGTTCGAAAAAACCCATATTATTTCTAAGAGCCCCTTCTTTTATTCCAGGAAAATCCGCGAATCTCTAGAGATCCGAAAAAATCCACATAATATCAATCGAGAGGAAGGATACTACTTGTCTCCCATCTGGAATCCCAGTCTAGAGCCGCCGTCCGGTCCCGCTACCATGATGCAGCCACATAATTGGCCAGCGCGCGCTTCTTGACGTTCGCGCCACGGAGTGTGCCGATACGTCCCGACACGACAGGTCACCGCGACTATAAATAGAGTGGTAGCGGAGTAATCGTCGGATTCACTCCCCGCCTTTCGACGCGTTAGTGTTCTGAGCTGTTGGACGTGAATCCCTGTCTTGGCATTTGGTTTTCACCTCTGGCTGCGTTAAGTAGTTGAGTTACTGTGACCAAATGCCCATCTTGGTAGTTAGTATTCGCCTCTGGTTGCGTTGAGTAACTGAGTTACCGTTGCTAACTACCCATCTTCCTGTCTTTTGATTTCTTTTTCTTTGTTCTCCTGAAGAAGCTACATACAATTGTAGCGAAACGTCGAGATGAACCCACTTTTGGGTTACTCACAAATGACACGGTCCAAACCCGGAAGACGAATAAACTATAAATTCGCTTATGTATTATTTTTAGCAACGCTTATCATGCGTGGCTCAGTCAGCTAAGTAAACGATTTTCTTCGCAGCGACTGGAATTGTGTTTCTTTGGTATTACCAAGAAGATGGATTTTCGCTTAAGCAAATCTCTTGATATTTGCCTCGTGTTGTATATGTTGTTAAACAGTTTTAAAACTGTTGTTAAACTTAAATAAATATATTTAAAGTTGCAAGTTAGCTATAAAAATATGCGAATTTCGACAAAAAACAAAAAATTATTTGTATATCTACCACTAACTTTCAAATCCAAAATCACTATTTATTGTGGTGTGGATGCTTACTTTGCATCGACTGTTGTTCGCATCGAAAGTCTCAGGAATGACGAGAAACTTAATGTCCGGCGTTACCCCCCAGTTACCAAATTTAGTGTATTTCAATATTTCTGCATGATTAGACATTGTTATACTGATACTTTTTCTTGTTGTAGGTGGTACAATTGCATTAGTTAAAGGTAAATATGAGTACTACCACTATTGTCAAAATAATATGGATGACAATGGTTGGGGTTGTGCTTATCGCTCCTTACAAACTTTAGCTTCCTGGTTTAAACTGCAGGGTTATGTTGATAGGGAAGTGCCCACTTATAAGGAAATACAACAATGCTTGGTAGATATTAGAGATAAACCTGCTAGCTTTGTTGGGTCCAGGCAGTGGATTGGATCCACCGAAGTTAATTTTGTGTTAAATACATTATTAGGTGTTCAAAATAAAATTGTCTATGTTAGTAATGGTGAAGATATGGCTTCGCAAGGTCCTGAATTGGTTAATCATTTTCAGAATTATGGGTCACCCATAATGATAGGTTTGTATATTTTCACAAACTTAAATATTTTATGTTTTATATTTTAATTAAATATTTTATATTTTAATTAAATCACTTAAATATTATTTAAGGTTACTTTGTGACATTTTTCAGGAACGCTATACTCAGCAATTATTGATATCAAATAACTCGCTTTAAATTGTCACATAATTTATGTCCACTCATTTTGACTCCAGTGGATATATCTTGTTCGACCGGATTATCGTTACTTTGCAACTGTTCTGGTTCAACACTCCCTCCAGTCCATCTTTCAGATCTTAGAACCAACCTGTTAGAACACAGGAACTGCCACACAAACCACACTAAAACCCAAAACTGTACCTACACACAACCAGCCAATACTTAACCAACTACTGCTCCTACCACACAACCCAAATCACATGATTATGCTATAAATCACTCCATAAGAGAAGATAAGAGAAGTCCAATCAACGGGACTAAAACCATCAATATCTCTGAATCCCTGCTGGGATAGCTGAAATCTATCAAGCCAAACCTCATATCTTAGAACCCTACACCCCAACAATCACGTAGACCTTCACAAAAAGCTCTGTGACACTGTAGGAGATACCAAAATTATCCTCAGACCCAAACAGAGTATACCCACCACACCTCGTCCCTCAACCCATACCTTCATGGTCATCCGGAAGAAGTAGCCCAAAACGCCTCACTCAAACTCTGCTACTTTCCAAACCCTTGGAAAGTAAGCAACACAATACTGCTCCCTAAAAAGGTAGCAAACTTTTCAAAATGGTATTGCTAAGGTCTTCGAGAAGATCCTTAATCTGCGTAGTGATTAAAATGTCCACATAGTAGATTATGGATGGACAGAGACCAACTCGGAGTTTGATTCGGGTTAGCGTGAACAAGAAAATGAGGTACAAGGCAGTTTTTTATTAGAGGAAAATATTTTAATTAATGAGGAACCTATAACAAATATTACTAACACAATTAACTGGCCAGTTGCTCCAGATAACATGCATGTTATAGATTTTGTAGGAAATGATATTTTGAGTCACAGTCAAGAATTACTTTATGGGAACCTGTAACAGTCCGAGAAACGTTAATCTTTTGTGAGTCTCATTACATTACATTCATTTTTTTTTTTTGTAAAAAATATATGAACGTTTGAAAAAATTAAAACAAGTAATTTAGGTAATTTTTAAAATATTGTGACAATAAAAGTAAATTGGCCTTGGTGCCACATAGGCTACATGGTATAGGCAGTGAAGGTGTTAAAATAAAAGTGATCGATGACGATAATTACAAATATTCCTGAAAACTGGTTGATCTTGTGTACATATTTTTTTAATGTCCTAAATTTCATCAACATTCAAACTTCCTCTAGAAAAAAAGGAATACGTATGTATCATTCAATATAAAGTCTCTGTTAGCTACTGGCTCTCTAACAATATATGGTATAACTATAGATTTCCTGTCAGATACCTGCAAATTTCTATTTCTATATAACTCGTATACGGGCATCAAATTTTCTATGACTGTGTAATTGTAGATTTATTTCTTTTGTTTATCCTAACAAAACAATGGCATGTATGACAATACCTTGATGAACCCTAAGCGAGAAGCGAGTGAACTTGTATAGGTTAGGTATATCTATATATATATATATATATATATATATATATATATATATATATATATATATATATATATATATATACATATATATATATATTGTATATATATATATATATATATATATATATATTTATATATATATATATATATTATATATATATATATATATATATATTATATATATATACAATATATATTATATATATATTCCTTACATGACGCATCAACCACGCAGGGTTATTAGCGTGTATGGATTGTGATACAGAGTTAGAACTTAACAATAGAATATTAACTACAGCAATACATAAATAGAAATAAACCTAAATCTATACAAAGTAAAATATTAGATTTTTGATATCAGCTTGCAGTCTTTGAGAAAGGCGAAAATATTTTTATCATCACTGTTTTTCCAAGAGCACTATTTAATGTTGCTGGTATGTTATATATTTTGCGTTGCACATCGTACTTGGGGCACTGCAATAAACAATGTTTTACCGTTAAGACACTTTTACACATGTCACACACAGGTTTATCAGTACGTTTTAGTAGGTAATCGTGTGTTAACCGAGAATGGCCAATCCGGAGGCGAGTGAAGGTTACTTGTTGTCTTCTATTGTTAAATTTTGTGAATTTTTTATGATTAACATCAACTTCGTACAGCTTGGTAATTAATATCCAACAAAACGTTAATAGAAAATGACAAACAATGAACTAAAGAAATCAATAAATGAAAACAACACAGGAATATGGAACACATTTAAAGAACTTACATGGAAAGTAATAGAAAAATATTCAACAACGTTACACAGGCACAAAAAACAACAATGGATGACTGATGAAATCCTGGAATTAATGGAGTAGAGAAGGAAACTGAAAGGTAACAAGACATAATATAAGGAAAACCAGAAACTAATTAAACAAAAAATAAAGGTGGCTAAAGAAAAATAGATGGAGGATAAATGCAAGGAATTAGAAAAGTTAAATGAAAAACATGATACGTTTAATATGTTTAAAAAAGTTAGAGAAGTAGCTCGTCTTTATCATAAGAAAACTCCACATACTATAACCGATTCATCGGGAAAAATGATAATAGACGAACATGAAATTCGAACAACCTGGTGTAATTATATAAGTGAACTGTATAATGATGATAGACCCGAAGAACTCGAGACTTTAGTTGAAGGTGAAGGACCAGAAATACTAAAATCAGAAATACTGCATGGTATAAAGTTAGCAAAGAACAAGAAAGCCGTTGGCCCTGATAACATACCGACAGTGATGTTAAAGCTTATAAATGAGGAGAACATTGGAATACTGGTCAAACTTTTCAATGATGTTTATTCGACTGGTGATATCCCTGAAGATTGGTTAAAGCCGGAATTCATAACACTACCAAAAAAACAACGTCCGAAGAACTGTAGCGATTATAGAATGATAAGCCTTATGAGTCACACTTTGAAAATATTTCTACGCATCATCCACAGTAGAATCAAAGATAAATGTGAAGAAGACCAGGATGAAACACAATTTGGCTTCAGAAATGGACTGGGAACTTGGGACGCCCTCTTTGCACTAAATGTATTACTGCAGAAATGTCGAGATCAAAGGAAAGACGTCTTTGCTGTATTTATTGACTATGAAAAGGCCTTTGATCGAGTACAGCATCACAAATTAATTACAATATTAAAAGATAAAGGAGTTGATAGTTAAGACATACGATTAATAGAAAAGTTATACTGGCGTCAAACAGCGACAGCTTGCATAAACGGAAAATCAACAGAAATATGTAAAATACAAAGAGGTATCGGACAGGGTTGTATACTATTCCCACTGTTATTTAATTTATATTCAGATAGAATATTTAAAGAAGCGCTGCATTTGGAATGGGGCGTGAAAGTTAATGGAATTCTGATAAATACAATCAGATATGGAGACGATACAGTTATTTTAAGTGATGACATGAATGGATTACAATGCCTTTTAAATGCCATTGATACAGTGGGAAGAGAGTTTGGCCTAAACATAAACTGTTCAAAAACAAAACACATGGTGTTTAACCGTTTAGCACATCAAGATGCATGATTATATGTAGATGGTCATATAATATAAAAAGTGTCCATTTTTAATTATCTTGGTTGCCATATTACTGAACAACTAGATCCAGATCCAGAGATAAAATATAGAATCGAGATAGCCCGCACGACATTTTTAAAAATGAGGTCATTCTTCTGTAATGATAACTTGCAACTTCAACTTCGAAAGCGCATGGTTAAATGCTGCATTTGGTCAGTCCTCTTATACGGTGTCGAAGCATGGACATTAAAAATATCCACCATTGATCGTCTGGAGGCCTTTTAAATGTGGCTGCACAGACGTATACTAAAAATTCCATGGACGGTTATGCTGACAAATGTGGCAGTCCTTGAGAGAGCAAATGCTGCTCGCGAGCTGCTTGATAACATCAAATGTAGAAAGATGGCCTATTTTGGACATGTAGTAAGGGGAGACCGATATAATATTCTTCAACTTATTATGATGGGTAAAATCGAAGGATGCAGAGGAATTGGTAGAAAGCAGGCCTTTTGGTTGAAGAATATCAGGGAGTGGACAGGAATAAAGGAAGCTGAGCCACTCTTTAGACAGAGACAGTTTCGCCATGTTAATCGTTAATCGCAACGTCAAGGGGACTTGATACGAAGAAGACAGCTTGGTTGGGGAGTTCTTCCATGTATCCTGCCATTTGAATTAATCTTTTCTTTAAAGAATGCTTTCAGGTCGGTGTGAAGAGATTTCGTATTCTCTTCTGCGTTTGGGTTAGTAGGTGCATTTTTTGTTATTTTGTCTAAAACCTCGTTTCCTTCGATTCCAGTATGTGACGGTACCCATATAAAATTAACTTTAATGTTCATATTTTCTGCATGTTTTAGTTCCTTTTTAATGAGAAGGAGTAGTGTATGATTACAGTAGAGTTGGTTTAATGCCATTATTGAGCTGAGAGAATATGTAAAAATGATATTTCTCTTTTTATTTTTGTTAACTATCAGAACTAGTGCTTTTAGTATCGCATACAGTTCAGCTGAGAACGACAGTTGTATATGAAGGTAATTTGTAAGCTTCTGTATAGTCTGATGAGTAGATTGCTCCCCAGTTTCGTCTTCGTTTTTGGAGGCATTAGTGTAAACTTTGAAACAGCCACCATATTTGCTTAATATTTTAAGAAATTCTTGATTAATTTGACTTGCTGGCGTTTCTGATTTGTTTAGGCGCAATAAGCTGGTGTCAGTAGAGGGAAGTCGAATTGTCCAAGGAGGGGGGTTTGAATTGAGAAGATATCGTAGGTGTCTGGAAAATGGATACCGATTGTTAACAAGTAGGTATGTAGGCGCTAATAGAAAGGGTGATCAGTTCGATTTGAAGTTTGGAAACAACTTTTGTAGCGGTCAGCGAATACGTTGTGTATAACAGGATTATCTTGATTAGACGATACTGCCGCGGCATAAGAAAGACTTACGATATTGTCTAACTTGTATATTTCTTTAAGTGTTTTCATGTAGTAATTATTCGTCTATATCGAGTTAGAAATAGCATTATATATTTATCTGTTTCTGAGTTTTTGAAACTGAAAGAATGACAAAAGTCTACGCCATCAAAAAAATCTAGAAAACTTTTTGATATTATTTCTTGACAAATTACAAAGAATTTTTAACTTTAAGATTGTAATCATTTAAGAGTTACTTTTTTTTATTATAATTAACTTTGAATATTAAAATGTTTTAGGTGGGGGAGTTTTGGCTCATACAATTTTGGGAGTTGACTACAATCAACAGACTGGTGATATAAGATTTTTAATTCTCGATCCCCACTATACGGGAGGGGAAGATTTACATGTTATACAAAATAAAGGATGGTGTGGCTGGAAAAATCTCTCATTTTGGAATAAAACAGCATACTACAATATGTGCTTACCGCTTGTTCCTAGAGAAGTTTAAATTTCCATTGGATTTATAAATTCGATTACACTGTTACATTTTTTATGTTTATGTATAAAGAATAAAGCATTATCATTAAAATATTTTAATAAATTACTTTTCATGTCCATATTTATTCTTATTAAAGTATTAACCTCAAATAAAAAAAAGAAAAACTCCATAAAATCTCTCACGTCTATGTCTGTATTTGAGATGAGTACTACGGAATTGTATGGAAATGTCGGGACTTCCGTGTGCGCATTAAATTGAAACTACATTTATTTCAGGAGTTCGATATTTCGTTGATTATTTATTTTTTTAACTTCATAGAAACGTACTACAAAATTAACTAACAATTAAAAACATTCACACAATTATAACTTACGAAATGCTTATTATAATTTATGACACCAATTATATCAGAGCGACATATGCTATTGTACAAACGAGCAAAACAGCACTTTTTTTGGTCTTTTTCACCCCTGTGTGACAGTAAATAATCCCAACTATCAAACAGCACCCACCCCTACCATTCATATACGTCTTGATACCCAAACCTATATCCGAGGAGAAAACCTTCACGAATATAAAAACCAGTGGAGGAAACCACTGAAAACAAGCGAATATGCCCAGGGCAGGCAGCTATAAATCATCCTAATGTATCGCTTACTCAACCTTAACGTGTGCCATACCAAAGGGGTGGATGGCTCAGGGGTAACTTAGTGGGCGATACCCAAGGGAGATAGCGAACCCCGAAGGGAAAATAGTCTTGGCGAGGTAAGGGCACTGCCCCACTGGACCAATCAGTACGATCCAACTTCTGGAAAAAAAGATGAGAAGAAGATAGAGTAGCGGGAATGAGGGAGAAAGTAGAAGAGTAGAGAGGAAGAAAGAGATGAAACTTAAGGGGAGAGAAGTGGAATAAATTGGAGTTAGAAAAGTTCAAGTAGAAGCAGCGGGAAAGAAAATGGGAACGGCAAACTAAGAGAGAGGAAGAAATAAAGGGAAGAGAAAAAAGAAAGAGAGAAGAGAAAACCGACATACGGATGGAATGAGGGAGAAGATTCTAAGGATATAAAATGAAAAAGAGGAAGAAGGAGAAGCGAGCAGCTCGGACAGCGGATGTAGCTCTGACTATGAATGGAAAAAGCGGAGATAAAGAAAAAGAAAACCAAGCAAGAGGACAGAAACGACCAGTTCGGTGGGGGGAGGGACAGCTACTCAACTACGAAGCTAGATCAAAGTTGGAGCGTTTCCAGGGCAGTGTACCGGAACTCAAGAATCTCAGAGGGAGGTGCCAAATAAAAGGTTATCCTAAAGAGGGAGGTCGACATCCTGAGAAATCAAATGTTTCTCAATAAGAGGCGTGTAGATCGTTATGGAACCCTTAAAAGTTAGGAAGATGGCGACAATGGGAGTTCAAGTGGACCTATTACAACCTAGAAGTCATTAAATGGATGTACGCTATCACGGGAAAGATGGCAACATGCGATGACGAGAAAGAAAAAATAGAGTTTTTAAATGGAGATTGGCCGGAGGAAGTTTTCACGAGGACTACAGTGAAAGAAAGACACACCTAGGAAATAACAGGAGACATGGCAGTCTTTGTCATCAAGGACGAGGGCAACAAAGCCATGGAAAAGATCAAAGCTATATTTACGCAGCTACCAGTTACTCCAGCGGAGGTGGACGATGAGGGCGACTTGGAAACTGTGAGAGTCACGATGTCTGCCCATAGAGATGGAACGTGGATCCACAAGGAGTATGGATTCAAATTTCTCCCAAACAAGAAGAAATAACCTGGGAAAGTGTAGTTCCTGAAAACGTGCAGTAAACTGATAGAGAAGATGGAGGAGCTAGAAAAGGTGGAAATCGACACGATGGCAGCACTGGATGTTGAGACATCGAGGAGAATTCTGGAGTGAGCTACAAGAGGAAAGGGTACAAATCTACAATAGGAAGCTGCGAGTGTATGAAATTGAAATGCTGAAAGAAGGACTTTAACCGATTGGGGGAGGGGAGGGGAGCGGCCTGGTCTACTGTTATATTTCTCCTAACGTGACAGCGGACGAGTACTACAGATGGGCGAGATCATGCAGAAGTGGTAAACACAGGAGGAGAATGCCGTGGTGATGGGCGATTTTTTAAATCAAAAGCAGCGGTGGAGATGTCCCATCACACACTCGCGGCAGGATTCTGACTCACTTGATGGGTACTCTGGACCTGGTGGTACTAAACGCAGGTCTATGGTCTACGTTTATTAGGAGAGGTAGGGATACGTACATCGACGTAACCATGGCGACACAAGGAATAGCGACGAAAACAAGAGGCTGAAAAGTTTTGCCAGACTACATCGGAACGAAGCATCGTTCATCGGATTCTCGATAACCGGAACGCAGACCTAAAGTAGTCCGTGCGTCCGAGACGTCAGGGGGCGAGGCAGATTCGGTGATAGGAATAACGTAACATAATTCATGATAGCATGATACAGGCCAATGACTAGAATATTTATTTTACTCATCATGTGAGGAAATCTATCCTCTCTTCGGCAAGTATATAGATATCCAGTGTCTTGACAAAGCTTCGTTTTCTAGAAATGTGAAGTGCTTTATATCAGCACAAACCAGCATTGAAGTCTCAATTTATCAATATACTGGATTTTTAAGTCCATGGACGTCCACTGGACGTACGTGTGCTATTAGGGACATAAATTGAATAGCACCTTAACCCTCCGTAGTGGCATGACTAAAAATGACATATTGAGTGAAGCTAGGGACAAATGTGCCACATTTTTTATTTGCCATGTTTTTTGGACTTTTAGTTTATTTTCTATGGAAATATAATAAGTACAGTGTATTTATCTAGATAAAACCAAAAAAATTATTACAACAAAAGTTTATTTTTAAGTAAACGATCACATAACCTCATCTTGATAGCAGTTTATACAGATTTCTTTTAAATGGTCACCACAAACCCATTTTACACAATTTGAACAGAATTTTCTGGTGGTTTTATCCCGAAACCTATCACATAGATAACATCTTTCTCGGGATCCGGTTCTAGCTTCGGCTGGCTGCTCATCTTTCTCAATACTAAGCAGCAGTTTTGCACGTTATCGTATTTGCCTTGGAGTGTTTGGATTTTGATACCTTCGTTCTATTTGAGGTTTGATCAACTCAGGTTTTTCAAGAACCGAATACGTGATATCTTCTCGTTCATATGATGGTGATATTTGTAAATGCAAAAAACATTGATTGCGGACATATTTACCAGATTGTAGACCACTATCATCAGCCAACGTCTAGTGTTGCGCGCAACATTATTGTGTTGACACAGCTGGTCAATCAGTTCGAAGCTAACTTTGGCCATATTATAAAAAGTCACGATCTTAGAATTATTTTTATCTTCAGTACTCATCTATATCAAAGGCGGAATTTAATTTGGATAAAACTAGTACAGCCTTGTTCTTTTTCGAACAATAGGACACCAAAGAACAGCATTCGTAAAAGCCGAATATGGAGGAGTGCTCCACTCTATTTCGTATTGGCAATTCGTCGTAAGCATTACGCCCTCTAGCGGCTATTGCAGTAACCGAGTTAAGAGCCATTATTTATTTTCTTTCACGTCGTTGAAGGCCATTTGAAGGCATATTGTGTTTTGGTGTCATTGGAGATTATAATAATAATAATAAAGGTCTTTATTTTTCCTTCAAATTCATACAATACACAAAATATATAAAATTATACATGCATATAATACAATAAGAAAGAAAAAATGCCGAAGATCAGGTGGTGCTGATTTCAAAAAAATCAGTACCTCTGCTTTTCATCTTAACCAAGAGAAAAAAAATGTAATATTTTTTTTACATGTTCTGTAGCAATCAAATAAAAAACCATAACTAATAGAAACATTTAACATTTAAATATTGTCCAAGAACTAGGTATCACACAGTTTATACATATTTCATAACAGGTCATCAAATAGTTGCACATGTTTTAGTCACTTAGCAATTTAGATTAAGAGATTTCTTAAAAGATATAATCGATTTTAATTTTGTTTATTTAATTGATAGTGTATGTACTTTTGTACATATGATAGAGTATGTATTTTTACTTTCTAGTCCAGAATAGCACTCTTTCCTCAAAAGATGCAGTTGTGCAAGTGAACATTCCAAAAGTGCTTACATTGTATGAAATCGTTAATGACATTAAATTAAAAAACTGTACTTGTGTACATAACTTCACTATTTATAACTGTATAGTAAATATGACTGAAAATGATATTAAGCACAAACGAGTTCATAGGTTAAACATTCCACAGCGGATAATGTTAGTTCTTACAAAGTTTAAGTTAAATTTGACTTATGCCACTTTGGGTTCTTTGTTTGGTATAACAGCTGACTTAACAAAAACGTATATTTTTATAAATTAATACCTATCTTGAGCCACAACTTACGGCCTTTGGTGTATTTTCCCACCAAAGGAGAAATTCTTAAAAACATGTCAGTTCGTTTTGCTGATTTTCAAAATGTTAGGCTAATTTTGGACTGTACTGACATTTATGTACAGACTCCAAGTGTTTGTGTTGCCGAATACTATTTTATTCTCAATATAAATCCCATTTAACAATTAGTTTATGATTGGTGTTTCACCTGGTGGGTTAATAACTTACGTCAGTGAATTTTCCAGTCAAAATAAGATAACCGAGTTTAAAACTTGTTCTCCTTCTACAGCACATTTTGAATTTTTAGTACCAAAAATTGTCTATTAATCAGTAGGAATAAAAAATAGTCAAACAAAAAATATTGAATTTAAAAAACCATGGACAAACGAACAAAACTACTCCAAAAACAAAACTAACGCAATCGCAATATACAAGATGAGGTGTAAACAATTATTATAATGGCTCTTAGCTCGGTTCAAATTGATACCGCATTGGCGCTGCGATCTTAATCCGAATAGTCAATTGGAATTAATTCCTTCGGTATTTCCCGTTTATTTTTACTCATCGTTTCTATGTTTTCTAAGTTATTTTGTCTCTTTTGTTATTTCTCTAAAAAGCCTTTTTGCCAAAGGATTACTGGTGAACCAGTAATCGTGATATTTCGATTAGTACGGTGAATGGTTTAACTA